GAGTTCTGATGTCCACAGACAGGAGAGAAGAGTGTATCCCAGCTCCAGTGGATCGAGAGCTCTTTCCTCTGTCTTTTGTTCTCTCCTGACCCCCAGCGGATTGGATGGTTCCCACTGGTGGTTCCCACTGGTTCCCACTGGTGTTTCCCACCCAGTCCACTCAGACTCTCATACTAATCTCTGCTGGAAACACCCTGACACACCTAAAAAGATAGCTTTACGTCATGCCTTTGCTGCCATAACTCAGTGTAGGCTGTTGCAAGTAGTCTTGCAGCTTCCTTAATGTTTTGCTGCTTAGAAATTTCTTCTGCCAAGTACTCTGGTTCACAACTCCTATGTTCCAACTTCCACAAAGTCCTAGGGCATGGACACAATGCAGCCAAGTTCCCTTCCAGTTCAAAGCACGGGTGATCTTTGCCCCAGGGCAAAGATCCTTATTCCTTATTTCTATCTGATACCTCCTTAGAAAGGTCTTTACAGCCCATGTGTCTATCAGTATTCTGGTCACCACCATTTAACCATTTAACTCTAAAAAGTTCCAAACTTTCTCCCATCTTTTTGTCTGAGTCCTCCACACTCCTCCAACCTTTCCTCAACACCCAGTTCCAAAGCCATTTTCACTATCTGTTATAAGGAACACCCCACTACTGGTACCAATTTTCTGTATTAGTCTATTTTGTGTTGCTATAACAGAATACAAGGAACTGAATGATTTATAAAGATAATGAAATTGATTGCTTACAGTTCCAAGGGTGGGAAGTCCAAAGTCCATCTAGTGCTGGCGACAGTGACCCAGGGGTCTCACATTGCAAGATGGTAAAAGCAAAGAGTAGAGAGAGCAAGAGAAAGAAAGACTCTCCTCTTCTTTTAAAGCCCTCAGAACTACACCCCTGACCACCATTTTTAATCTATTCACTACCGCATGGTCCTACAACCCAATCACTTCTTCAAGGCCCCACCTTACAATTACCATAATAGGATTTCCCACCCTCTTTATTGTCACAGTGGGGGCTAAGTTCCTAATACACAAAACTTGGGCGACACAACTCAAGCTTCAGGGAGTTTTGGGGGGACATAACTCAATCCACTACAGATGGTGATAGGTTAACATGAGAGAAACCTAAAGAGCGAATAAAATGTTCAGTCTAATTAAGAGTCAAGGGCCGGCCCGGTAGCGCACTGCTACAGTGCGCCGCTTTGGAGCGCGGCGGCGCTCCCGCTGAGGGTTTGGATCCCACATACAGACCGGTTCCCGCTCACTGGCTGAGCGAGGGGCGGCGCAGCACCGAGGGTTGCGATCCCGTTGCCGGTCCCGGTCCGGTACGGGCGCGACACTGAGGGTTGCGGTCCGTTGCCGGACACGAAAAAAGACAAAAAAAGGAAAAAAAAAAAAAAAGAGTCAAATAAGAACCACCACTTTGCACTCATGTCGTCTCACCAAAATTCAAATGAGTGATTCTGTTATTAGAAATGTGCATTTTATATTCTTCTTGAAAGATATGACTAGTCACATACTCTCCATCCCAGAAATGTTATTTCCAATTCCTGGAATCTTTATTAGACGTGAAAGAATCCAGAATTTTTTGTAAAAGGGGGTGGGGGATGGGGGGAAAGATCTTAGAAACAAACTGAATGTCCATAAATGGGTCAATGGTTAAATAAATTGAGGTATATCTATGCCAGAGACTTAATGAAGTCATTTAAATAATTTTATCTATATTAGGGTATTTACCCAGATTTTCACAATTGATTTTTAAGCAAGAAAAACAAGATGCCAAAGTACATTTACAAATAATTTTTAAAGCATATATAATATGAACCAACAATATAAAATACATATATATGTATTTGTCTATGTTTAAATAGTAAGTGCAAAAAGAATGACAGCAAAATATTAATGGTGTTGGTTCCCTCTTAGTCAAAAAATTCAGGGTGAATTTTCTTTTCTTTATAATATACACCTCTTTCGCTTTCCTTCAAGGGAGCCGGCATTATTTAAATAAGCAAGAAAAACATAAAACTATACTTTTTCAAAGAGCATATACTTAAAACAAACGAATACCAGATGGATATTTTGTAACCATCCAACATATAAAGGAAAAGATACAAGAATGTTTAATAAAATTTTTGATTATAATCCCCCCACCCCCAAATGTAAAAATACTAACATATTTGCAATCAACTCAAAGCTTTCCGTATTTCCTCACCCATAACAGTGGGACAACAGCTACCTCCCAGGACTGTTGTTATGCTTAAATGAGATTAGACACATCAACTCTTCCTTTCATTGATCTTTAAAGAATAGTAAAAAAAAAAAAAAATCCTTGAAGCTAAAGAATAGGCTAATATTAATAAGCATAAAATAGCCATCTTTAAGTGGGACCTAAGGCTTAAGATTATTTTCCCAAAACATGGGACACCACAATAATGTTTAACAGAATATCTTACACAGAAACATAAGCAAAAGGAATAACATTACTATCTTAAAATCAAGTACCAAGAAAAAAAGAGTAGCACAGCAATATCATTCTCTCCCTTTCCTAAAGGAAAATTCAAAGCACATTTCGAACATTCCATTTTTTTGTGGTAACACAGTGTTAAGGAAGATACAAGCAAAGAAGTACTTTAAATTACTGCATATTAGAAAGAATCTACATTATGTTTACAGTAATAGACAAGAGTACTAAAATTTTTCTATTAAAAAAGAGTACCTTCTAATATAATGCTCAACTGAAAATTACCAGATTAATTACTGTGTACCTACAAGTTCTGCTTCCTTTCTAATTGGGAATTAGGAGAATTCAAATTCTTGTAAAAACTGATACACATAATTCCATTTCTCTCATTAAGTCCCATCAAAATTAGAATTTAAAATAAACAATTTTTTCTCTGGCATAGGAAAGACAGGAAAACTAAGAATTAATGTAAGGATTAACTTGGCAGATACACACAGGTATTCATATTCAATGTGGTATCCCACAGATATGTACAATCATGTTTCAATTAAAAAAGAAATGTAAAAGAAATCTTTAGAACAGAAATAAGGATCAATGTAGTAGGCTTAAGAAGTGTAAGAAAATAAATACATTACAGAAGTTTAGAGTACTTTTCAAAGAGTACTTACTGCACCAGATGCTGTACCTAAAAACAAAAAAAGGACGCAAAATATTTACACTGTGATACATCATACTCTCCTTCTTAACAATTTTAATATTTATTCATACTATATCTTCCTCCTCATCCTCTCCCACTAAAGATTCTGAGACTGTCCCATATGACCTATGTGCTTGCTCTCTTTCCCACAAAATGAACATCTATCGCACAAAGCCTTCTCAAAATTTGAACTTTCAATCTCCAAACTCACTTGCAGCCAAGTTTGAGAAGTGTTCGTCTTTGCTTTTTGTTTCTCTTCTCCTTACTATTATAGGTGCCTATCTCACTTAATTCCTCTTTCTCTGATGTATATATTTCTAAAGTACAATAATGCCTCTGAACTCTGATTTTATGCTTTAGATTTCTGGTAACATCAACTATTTAGAGTCCAGACTTGTTCTGTACAATACAGTAGTCATTAGCTACCGTACACCCCCAATTAAATTAAATTTTCAGTTAAGATTAAATAAAATTAAAAAAAATTCAGGTCCTCAATTGTACTAGCTACATTTCAAGTACTCAGTAAGTACATTCAGCTAGTGGTGACAGTCCAGATAACAGAACATTTCCATCATTGCAAAAAGTTCTATTAGATGATGCTATCCTATACTACCGCAGAAAATCTCTTAAGGGATTTTAAAATGCACATCAGTCACAAACCATGTAATCTTCCAGGATTACTTAGGATAATACTACACAGCTCTAGATAGCTACATAAGATAAAAAAATTATACTAGGTATTTCAGAACATCATTTTAGTTAAAATAACAAAATTTGTAAAACATCTTAAAAAGATCAATTATGTCCCATATAAACCTGCAGCAAATCATAACTGTATTTTAAAAATGTTTTAACCAATAATGTTTAAAACAAAAAAATGTTTTGGCATGATCATGGGATAAAGTCCAGCACCCGAAATATTAATTTATGGGGAAAACTATTTATTCATAAATAATGAAGGCATCACTATTATATAATAAAGCTTCACTAGTCAAAATAACCAGTTATTGGTAATTGATGGGGAAAAAAATTTTATAACACACAAACTCCAATCATTGTAACAGAAAAATGACGGTGATGTAGTCTAGAACACCAAGGAGAGCACGTGCTTCCCATCTGAAGGGTGGAGCTGCTACCCCATTCTAATGTTTGCTGAGTACAAATATAAACTCAACCAGAGTTCATTAGTTGAATACATATTCTCTGAGCACCTACTGTGTGGAGAGGACTATTGCTAAGCACTGGATATTCAGATCATCCATCTTCTCAAGAAGAATTAATCTGCAGACTTTAAATATTAGCAACAATTACAAATTTCAAAACACTGTGTGAGCCAATTACAAAGGGTCTTCAAAAAGTTCATGGAAAGATTTGTATTATATTTTAATCCCATTTTCCACAAACTCTTTGAAGTGCCCTCATATATCTGCAGACCAAATTTGGCACAGAACTCCTGACCTAAAACTATAATAATTTCTTAAGAATCCAACTATCAATAATATCCCTAATTTCTTTTGACTAAAAAGGGGGAAAAAAAAAAAATCAGGACCTGATTATGAAGTCTGAGAGACACTACTTTTATTCCTCATTAAAATACAGCTGTTACTCTCCAAATAAAGTCTAATATATAACCAACATCCATAGTACACATACCTGCTGTTACATCCATACTGTTTACTCCTGGCTGTAAAAAGAAAAATAAAATTAGTAATTTTAACCTTGTTTAAACTATCTTATACAAGTTTCTCAAAAAGCACAGTGAATCAGTCCCTCCTGTGTATAATTCTCAAGCCAATGACTCAAAGATTCTTACCAAGTTTTAGTGGTCTCAGTTCCCTGAGTTTATTATAAATTGTAAGAGGTCAGCAACGTGAGGCTGATTTAAGCTTAAGCACCTTAATCTAAGCGTTACATAGTCACCAGTTGTATGCAGATCCACAATCCTTTACCCACAATTCTGAAATCCAGAAAACTCTGAAAACTAAGTTTTTTCAAGGATGGCACCTAACCTCAATGCAGTGGCAAAACCTGCCCTAAGTGAACAAAAAACTCCTTGCAATCTTTATTTATTGTACCTCAGGTAATTATCGATAAGTTTTACTGTAGAAATATTAATATGTTAGAAATTATAAGGCACTGCCCTAGAGCCCACAGGAAATTTTTACATAATGTTAATATATGCTACGTGTTACTTCCCAATATAAGAAAGAATTGTGAAATACAGCTAGCCTTAAGGGTTTTAGATAAAGACACTGCAAACTTAGCACCTCAAGAGAATATACCATATCTATGTACTACAACCACGAGGCTATCAGGTAATTAAGAAGTTTAACTAATTTGAATATCATAATAATTTATACATTATACTACCCAATAGGCTGTTCAAGGGTTTTCTAAGTAATGTGTCACAGCTGAAGTCTCACAAAATGTGGATTTCAAATCAAATCTTCTGATTTCTAAATCCAGTATTAAATTACATAATATCAATTTTTAATTAAAACTCAGTAAGGGAAATGTCTAGTCTTTAAAATTAAAATGGTACCAGACCATTAAATGTTTCTGGTTTGCAAATTATGCTTTTCAGTAATTTAGTCTTATTTAATGTAGAATTAATTTAATAACCAAGGATGTACATGTATTATAATGTCAATATAGGAAAAAGATGTAAATGCATATCATTCAAGTTACAGAAACTAAAACTAAAAGTCTACTGTAATTCTCATAGTACATTTCAGTACTTCAGAGGCAGGGCACTTAGAAGGCTAACATGACTGTCTCTAAAGTACATATATATTATTTTATATATAAAAGTAATCACTCAAAACATCACATAAAGTAATTATTTTCACAAGATTACCGGTAAGGCAGGCTGCATGGAAGCCTGAGACATATGAGACATCATCATTCCAGGCATTACTGAAGACATCATTCCAGGCATCTAAAATAAAAGTAAAAAAAGGTTACCATATAAGACCAAAACACTTAATAAGAATTGTACATATTAAGATTAAAAATCACTGAACACTATACCATATGGGTAGTATGCTTAGTAAGTGCTTGTTGAATGAATGAAATACTTTATCAATGATCTATTTTAGTACTTATATCATGTTTTATATGGTCAAAATTGTTTTAACAAGTGAATTTAAAAGTTTGGACTACTATGTTATTTCTAGCACAAACTTAAGAATATTAATTTCTTTTTAGTTGTAACTCAACACTCATGCTTTTCTCCCTTCTTTGAAGTAAGATAATTTAAGATACATTTTTTTCAATGTTTTTCACCTTTGATTTTTAATGTCTGTATTTAATAAATTTTATGGCAATCTGGCTCTTTCCAAAATCCTAGATCCAAAATGAGTGTGCTCAAGATCCAAACAGTGACTCCAAATACATAAAAAAAACTTGGTAAACCACAAATCATCTATCCCCTCTCTTGTACAGAAAATTTAATAAAGTACACACATAAATATCTGAAGTTATTAGTTTGGGAGCTCAATCTACTTCACCAATGACTGCCACTCATCTATGAATTAATCTTCTGTACTAAGTATGAACAGAAATCATGACGATTAACTTAAGTTTCAAAAAAGTTGACCCAATGCTCATCTATATTAGTATAATACCACAATTTTGATTTTAATATAAACAGCAAAAGGATCTAAAGAAACCAGGAGGGGGACAAAAATTACATATAATAATCATAGGTATTGGAACAAAGTAACCAGTTATTCAACACCTTCAAATTAAATGAACAATTTGAAAAATAGGAACAACAGAAAAGAAATAAGGATATTGGTCAATAGGAACATACACATTAAGCCTACTAAATGCAGACAAGAACAGTCACACATTGAATGAATTTTATTACTTGTAAAAGTCAATTTATGAAGCAAAACAAGGCTAACGTACCTATTAAAATGAAGTAGCATGGAGTCAATGGATTAAAAAACAACCAATAAATTCTTTAAACACCATTAAATAAGAACTTAACAGAAATTGTGACTAGAAGAATGTTGTGGCTACTTGGAATATACAATCAAAATAATATTTTTTTTAAAAAGTTACATAAATTGAAAATAGAAGCATTGAAAAGCCTCTGACATCCAGACTGAGAAAATTAGAGAAATAACTTAAACACTGAGGGAAAAAAAAGTATACGATCAAATTAGAACTAGGCTTGCTTCCAGCACATACTCCCACCCCCCACTCCAACAAATATACCCTCACATTAATTCTGCCTTAGGCTAATGCAAAATCGAGTCAAGTAACTGGTTATGGGAGGGGAAGCAAACTGGAAGCATGATGTGCATGACACAGAAACAGGCTGTTAGTTAAAATGGGCTACATATAAAAATCAAAAACTAGTAACATATCCAAATACAGAATTCTAAGCTAAGTTGAAAATGAAAGTTTGAAAATTTAAGAGAAAGACAAATGAAAGTAATTTCTCATTAAGAATTAAAGGTATTTTTTAAAGTGGGGCAAAATCTCCATAATGCAATAGAACATTCCCACATAGTAGCAGACTGTAGAAATGAAGGTAATTTCAATTTGAAATATTCTGACTTCGTAACACACACAAAGATCAAATCCCAATAAAGCTGGAGGCATAACACTACCCGACGTTAAGCTATACTACAAAACTATAATAAACCAAAACAGTATGGTACTGGCATAAAAACAGACACACTGATCAATGGAATAGAATAGAGAATCCAGAAATCAACCCACACACTTACTGCCATTTGATCTTTGACAAAGGCACCAAGCCTATTCACTGGG